ATGGATACAACATAGACTATTGGGCCTATGACTACAGGCCCAATAGACCATCTGTGGAGTACCAGATAACAAACACTCAAAGAGGGTGGACCCTTGGAAGGGGTTTGGGGGATGGGAACCCAGGGGAGTGCATGACACAAGAGGGCTTAGGGGGGCTCGCACACCTATGAACGAGTACCTAAGGGAAGGTGAGAGAGCCAGTGAGGCCGCTTCCACCCTTTTCGAACCGCGGGCTGATACTCGATGTGGGCCTAGACCCTGCCTCCCGCATTCCACAAACAACAAATCCCTGGCCCGTAAAAGTTGGTAAAACTGCGTTTTATGGGTTCTACTCGACGTATACATACGCATACATAGGGATGCCACTGATCCCTGGCCCCTTAGAAAAAACTGCGTTCTATGGGTTCTACTCGGCATATGCATACGTGTACATAGGTATGAAACTGATTCTGAATGGGTTAGCACCCCAGAGCTGAGCTGCACATGCTCTACCAATGTCAGGCTGATATGCAGAGTCTGCAGACACCCTTCCATTGTTTTGGCTGGATTTTTTTTTTTTTTTTTTTTAATATTGACCATTTCTAGATTGCTGCACTCGTTCGGATTTGTCGCACTAAAAAATGTAAGCAGTGACGCAGCCAAGCGATCCTTGAATTCAGTCTTCCTTTCTTTTACTTGCCAGACATGATTTTTTCGCCTCTCTGGATGTGTGAGACTGCAGCAAAGGGAAAGTGGTGCATTCTTTTTTTTCTTTTAAAGATATCAACATTGAGCTGACCCGCTGCAGGCAATTCAGAAATAGTTGGTTTTACTCATCAAGTACCATCATCTGGGTTTGAACTTGGGTCTGTATTTCGACAGTTTGGGTGTACCCACTGAGCTAGGCTCTTGTTTTTTTTTTTTTCTTTCGAAATTTGGACCATTTCTCAATTTACACGCCTCATCCTTGCACAGGGGCCGTGCTAATTAAGTAATTACCCTTCTCTGTACCGTTCCAATTTTAACGGATGTCCCGTAACGGATGTCCCAAAAGACAAAGTGGTGCATTCTTTCTTTTTTTTTTTTTTTTTTTAACAGGTCCTTATGGCCCTGGCTCCATATCCATTCTGGGGAGCGTCAGCCCGGTTCCTATTCCCCCGGCAAGTCAGAAGAATACATGGTTTTACCCACTCAACGCTTCCTTCCGTCTGGCCGAAGGAACCCTGACCAGCGTTGATTACTCCTAAGGAGGATTGACTGTCAGCTTGCCCTGACCACCTGTTCCTCTCAGGCTTCTATTCAGAGCCTGTCGAATGAGTCCCTGCAATGCAAGAAGAGTGGGGGTGTCCGCTCAGTGTTCTATTGCTTGTCCTTGTCCTTCATTGTGAGTCCGGTTTGCCTTGTTGCTGATCCTCCTTCCGGGTCTTCTTGGCCTTCTGCCAGGGCACCCAGCAGGAGACCTTATAGACTTCATGATTGTGGCTGGTGCCAATTCTTCCACCTCAACCTGTTGTCAACTACTGTCGCCACCTTGCCCGTTTGCAGCCAGTTCCTCATGAAGGTCTGTTTCTTGGTTGCTTCAACTTGCTTGTCCTTCTGGTTTGTGTCTTATAGAGTTGACTATTCTCCGCCATCTGCTTCTGATTTCCGTCTCTGCCATGCTCAGGAGTAATGACCACATTTCTTCCCTTGGTTGGTCATAAATTTGGAGAATTTGCGCCACCTCTGCACCCTCGATTGTCTGAGTGCATCTGTGTTTCCATATCACCCACAATACCAACTTCCTGAGCAGGGTGAACCATACTTCCCCTGCTGCCTGTGATGTTGCTGGGGATGTTAGTTAGGATTAGGATAGAGAGACGGGGAATGTCAGGGGGCGGCGAAGCGAACAGGATCGACCACAGCTCGCGGACCTTCTTCCATACCCATGTCGCTTCTGGGCAGAAGAGGAGGCAGTGTGGGATGTCTTCGGGAAAGTTGCTGCTGCACATTGAGCAGCAGTCCGAGCTATCAGGGTCAGAATGTTTCCTTCCTTCTAGTATGTAGCCATTGGTTGGCGGGAAGGGCTGCATGTGCTAATAGCCATTGCAAGCTGCGGTTTCTGATTGGTCTGACGACAACGTTTTTGGTCCATGGGATGATGATGGGGATTGTGCCATCTAGGTTCAGTATGCTTCTCCATTTCTCTGTCAGCCTAGGATTTGGGTCCCCGGTTTGCAGTCTGAGGTTATACCCGAACTTTACATCGTATTCTGTTATCGTCCTCGACTTTCTGGTGGCGCCCAGGTCCCACATCCATTCGTTTGGGTCGAATTCCAACTCCTTAATGCTGAGTTCCGGCTGGAAGATGATCCAGGGTTTCCTGTGAGAGACAACCTTCCTGAGAAGGTAGGTTTCTATTTGTTCGTTCTGTGGTGTTCTGTTTAGGACCTCTAGTTCGTAAATGTTGTGTTTGATGATGGGGTAGGATATGAACTTGGCCTGGTAGTTAGTCGGGTCCAGTTTGGTCACAAAGCAGTAGGCTCTTGTTGGTGGCGTCTGTGTGGTGAGCAGTCCCCAGTCTCCAGGTTTCCATGTGTGTGGTTCTTTAAGGAGGGTCATACATGGGGGAGGAATGCTTTGAAGGATTTCTAACAGGTTTGTGTTCAGTAGGTAGCACCCTTTTAAGGATGTGCGGAGGTCCTGTTCGGTTAACCATTCTTGTCGGTCCTCAGACCACAGACGTTTGACCTGCCATACTCCTCTCTCCACCCAAGACAACCATCTGTGGTCTTTGGCCCGGAGAGTCCATGGTCTGCCCTTCGTGTCATTAATCCAAGCAAGGATTGCAGAACAGGGGCTGTCTTAAGACTTCCTCTTTGTTGCTCGGGGACCCTTCTTTTCTGGCATCAGGCGGCGCCAGGCCTTCAGGATCGGTGACCAGTAGGGAATGGGCATAGTGGGGGGCTGATTGGGCATCACGGGGTTGGTTCTCCTAGCAGGTCTTCCGGATTTGATTGTCCATTCCTTTGCCATGATCCAGAACAGGCCACTCATGTTCGGTAGGGACGCTACCGGTGTCCTCATGCTGTCTGCCACCATCTTCGTCCACGGGAGGGCTTGTTTGGTCAGGATTTTGATTATCCATTTCATTTGGAGGGCGATCGCTTCCTGTTTAGGGTCGATTATACCTAGCCCGCCTTCGTGTGGTTTCCTGATGACAGTTTGGGTGCCGTGCCACCTTGTTTATGCAGGTGGTTCTGTTGGGATCGCCAGTCCACAGGTAACACCTGGCTCTAGCCTTCAGCATCTTCAGGTCGTCATCGGGAGGGAACCATACTGAGTGGAGGCCATGTACCACAGAGTGGACAATACTGCTGTGTTGTTGATCAGGGCTCTCCCTAGCAGGGAGACAAAAGTGTTGCATTCTTATACCTCTGAAGCAGGGAGACAAAAGTGTTGCATTCTTATACCTCTGAAGCAGGGAGACAAAAGTGTTGCATTCTTATACCTCTGAAAGAAAGAAAAGTACTATGTTCTCATACATCCAAAAGGAAAGTGGTACATTCGTAATATTTCGGTACACCATGGAAAGCCTGCCTGCTACACCATGGTCATGGACAATTGGCACACAGATGGTTGAAGTGGGTACGGACAAAAAAACAACCAACCAACCCACCCATAATTCCTAAGACTGGTGAGCATCTGACTCACTACTACAGATTGAGAGCTATACCCCACTCACTCTGAAAACTTCTCTCTGAAGCTGCACAGGTCTCTATCCTTTCACTCCACTGGCAGCCCTCAATTCTTTCTTTTGGGAAATTTTGGTCACTGTCGTTGTGACTGCAACAGACACGATCAAAACAACATCATTCACAATACTCCACATCACATGCAGGAGCCTGTGATTCAAAATCCATCAACATGGCATACATGCAACTAATATCATCCAAATTTACTTTCTTTGTCCAGACTCTAAAAGAATGCAGATACCGAAGGAGCAATGTCAGCCACCCTCGGGCCTACACAAGAGATTTAACCCGTCGAACCCTTATTCGACACATGTGCAGCCCTCGTTTCTTTCTTCTCCCTGCTGCGGCAAGGTACAATTTACAAAATGAACAAACTCACACTTCCTTCCATCTGGCCGACGGACCCCTGAAAAGCAGCATTGATCGACCCGTCGAACCCTCGGAATTTTTTCTAGCATTGTATTCGACACACATGCAGCCCTCATTTCTTTCCTCTCACTGCTGCCATTCTTTTCGTCTTTTCTGAAACAGGAAATGTGAAACGTCGTTCACAATACTCCACATTACATGCAGAAGGCTGTGATTTCATCAACATGGCACATATGCAAGTGACATCATCAAATTCACATAACATTCTCTTGTGAAGACTGAAAGAGAAAGGACAGCAACCCTCGGCCGACCAACCGTCCACCCAGCCTTCTGTCTCCACAAGGTCCCCTCTTCAATCACCAAACCGACCGCCACACAAGAGATTTAACCCATCGAACCCTCAAAAAATTTTCTAGCATTGGATTCGACACATCCCAGAGAGGGTCTATGCCTGCACAAACATGACTTGTTATCAAGGTGGCATTCATGCAAACGGCGTCAGGGCAGAGCGGGTTTGTTCGAGGATCCAGCTTCACATAAAACACGAAGAATGGAGAGAGACGAAAAGAGCATTGACAGCAACGCGCACAGCCAACCACCCACCCAGCCCTTCTGTCTCCACACTTCAACCACCAAACATACGGGCACACAGGAGAATCAACCATTGAACCCTTGGAAAATTTTCTAGCATTGGATTCAAAACATGTGATGTGTCAGAGAGGATCTATGGCTGCACAAACATGATTGGTTCCCCTCTCCTTGTGCAATTTATTCTCCTGCCTTCATGGAACATGTGTTTTGTGCCCAAATACGACCCAGTTGCGTCCATTGTTTCTAGAGAAAATGAACTAAACATGACAACGGTACCAAAAAAACGCGCAGATTGACCTTGAGACTCTCCGACGGCACCAGCGATCCATCAACTTCTTCACTATGAAATTACGAGCGCTAGAGTGGCCGAAACAAATATCACATTGGCACCACCGCCGCCACCAGGTGTTTAAGCAAACAGGGAAAACACGGAACTCACAAAATTTATAATCGATGGAAAAGTGCACTTTTTATCAACTGGTGCGCTTCTATACACTTCAACAACTCAGCACAGGGACCCTATTCTGTCCCGGAGTTGGCCACCTCTTGCATGAGCTGTGCACAAAGGACAGGCTACTGGTACATTGAAAGGGGAGCAATCATGCAACCCCAGCGAACATTGGACGGAACCAAACTAAAAGGAAACCGAATATTGGATGGAACTCAACTAAAAAAAAAACGAATATTGGATGGAACTCGACGAAAGAAAAGAAAAAAAAACTTTAAAAAAGAAAAAAAACGAATATTGGATGGAACTCAACTAAAAAAACTGAGTTCACGCTTGATGAAGTGTTTCTGTACGAATTTCTTTGAGGAGATAAGGCTGGCAGCCTGGCACGTCCTCGCCAAGTACGAACGCAGACATGAAGAATGCAGTAGCTGCTAGCAGCCCCCTGTCATAGCCATAAGACATTCACAAAACACACACACACACACACACACACACACACACACACACACACACACAC